AATCTGCGCTGTCTAGCCGTAATCAGTTCCATATTTGCGAAGCCTTCCAACAAAACACTTTTTGTCTATGATTTGTATTCATCTTAGGACACACTGATTTCAGACCCTCTGTGGATTGTAATGTATAAACAGCCCTTTTATTTTTAAATGCAACTAAGAAACTATTTGGCAGGGTCACCACAGTTCTGAATCTTGAGCAATATATACCAACTGCAACTGGCGTCTAGGCTGCAAAGCAAGCAGGACAGGACACTTAAAGACAATTGTGTTCCTTCAGTTTCGCTAAGAATAGGACATGAATAAGAAATATTTTAATCTAACAAGCATCATGTTTTAAAGGGAACTTTAAGCTTTCTTCGGTCAATTTGACAGGCATGTGATGATCTCATGGCATAGAAGTTGGAGGCTGAAGCACAGAAGTTCTGAGATTCCAATAAAATCTCCCAACCATCCTAGCAAACTGCACGCATTTTCCCACTGTGTGCTTCTCAAACTTTATTCCCATTAGAGAGAAGATACTTCTACAATTACTTATAAAAAAATAGTCAAGGGAAATAAAATTTAACGTATCCCTACAGAATGAACTCTGTCCCTTGAAGCTTACTATTCACTAACGACAGAGTTTTATCAGCAGGATGTCACTCAATTTCAGTCTTTCCAGAACAGATACTACATGTTCCTCCTCTTCAACTCTATCTTCCCCATGGCTGTTGGGGGTGCTGCTGCTTTTCTGAAGAATTTTAGTCTAATTTTCTAGAGATTCAAGGCCCCCACTTGTATCAGCAACATTATAAATCATTGTTTAATTAGAAGTAAGATTCACAGAGATATAAAAACCCTCAAGACATGCTGTTCTTAGAGGTCTTCCAGAAAAAGATGGCTGGAAAGATAAAACCTCCAACAGCAACATGCAAAGAAGGGAGGTACCAGAGGTTAGGGAGTAAAGGAGGAAAGTCACCTCTTACTGCAGCGTGCGGGAGCCAGGAAAGAGCAATCCACCCCAAACCCACCTTTGTCAGCTCCGGGATGTTAGGCCTGCAAGGTTCAAGGTTCACTGTCCTCCATGAAGACAAAAAGCCACAGTGTCTCCACCTCCGGTCCTCTTCACAGATCAGCCCATGGCACAGGCGAGCACACGTTGGTCCATCAGCTGCAGAAGGGCGTAATAGCTGCTCCACAGCATCTGAGGCTACAGATGCTGTTACGGCTCATTGGGGACAAGGGGAAAAGGTAGTTTACAGGATATCCTGTGAAACAGCATGAAATACCACACCCGATTTGGTATAAGTAGGGAATTAAGCTGCAGTATTGAACACGGATACCGGCCTGATCTCCGCTGGGTCTGAATGCGTGAACACCCTCAGGTTTTCAGTTTTAGAGGTACCAATATTGAAATGACTGAATGCTCTGCAAGTGTGCAGAACGAGACAGTCACAGGACTGTACATCAGGATATATAGCTTTACTGTCACAGAATCATCGAGTGGTTTGGGTGGGAAGGGACCTTTAAAGTTCATCTACTCGAAACCCCCTACAACAAGCAGGGACATCTTCAGCCATATCAGGTTGCTCAGAGCCCCGTTCAACCTGACCTGGAATGTTTCCAGGGATGGGGCATCTACCACCTCTCTGGGTAACCTGTCCCAGTGTTTCACCACCCCCACTGTAGAAAATTTCTTCCTTATATCTAGTCTAAATCTCCCCTCTTTTAGTTTAAAGCCATTACCCCTTGTTCTGTCGCAACAGGCACTACTAAAAAGTTTGTCTCCATCTTTCCTGTAGGCCCCTGTTAGATACTGAAAGGCCACAATAAGGTCTCTCTGGAGCCTTCTCTTCTCCAGGCTGAATAATCCCAACTCTCTCAGCCTGTCCTCACAGCAGAGGGGCTCCAGCCCTCTAAGCATCTTTGTGGCCTCCTCTGGACCTGCTCCAACAGGTCCACGTCTCTCCTGTGCCGAGGGCACGTCCAGCTTTTCATCCACCAACACCCCCAAGTCCTTCTCCCTTTTCACTAGTGCGTATCTGGACCACGTTTCATGACCAGCATTTGATTACTGGGCTATGCGAAGGAAGTTGTTGAGTTGCAGTCCAATTCCCAGTGGGCAGGTTCCACATCACAAAAAAATCCCCCTATTATACAACTGACACTAATTGGTTCCTTTTTAAGCTCTTCAGAAGAGAGGCCAAGGCTTGAACATCATGGAAACAGAACTAACTGTTCTGTGAACTCCCCAGAACGGAGACACATGGATGAAATGCTTTGGGAGACTTATGTGGCATCTCAAAAAATATAGGTTTCAGATTCTAAGACTTCTGCAGTCTTCAACTTTCACCAACATTCAAATTCACCTACATTAAAAGAAAATTAAATTGCCCTCCCCCACAAAAAGCAAACCACAACAAAGCAAACATCCTCCAGCAAACTATTCGCTTGAATCTATTAAAACTTGCCAAGTCAACGTTCCAGTCTCAACTGCCTAACCCAGCCTGCCAACAACAGAAGTGTCAGTTTTTTGCTCCTCTATTTTACATTAACAAAAGTCAATTGTGGCGATGAATTGCATCACATGCCAACAATATATCACATTCCTTCACAGCTGTTTTTTGTAAAGGGAAGGAAAAGACCTCATCAGTCACTGACAACACTCCAATAAACCATAAACATTGTAAGAACTCCATCCACAAAGTCAGGATGGTAAACGACTAAACAAAATCCTAGCTAAATGGGATAGCACAAACTACCAATTCCAGATAATAAACCCCAGTGTATATGAAGAATCCATACATTAACCAAATCAAGGTAGTCATGAACTTATTTTAATAGATAAGCAGGTTAGATGGAAAAAAAGAAGTCACTATTATGCCCCAATGAGCAGAAAAGCCTGCTACCAAGTCAGCAGGCTGGACTTTGCCTAACATATTATCAAGAAAAGGGAAGCAAAACTGCTTATTACATTTTCTCATACTCTTTAGCAAAGTAATAGCTAAATCCGAAGCATTAAGTTAATTCCCCTTAGGATTTATAACCGATTTAAATGAAAGAAAAATGCACTCCTATAAAATACTAATAAGGCTTTAACATGTATTGTCAAAACAGAATTAGACTGCAAATAAAGGGCCTACTATAGTATATCTTTTAGTGCAGTAATTTCATTATCGTAACTAACAAATAATAAAGGTTAATAATAAAGAGGAAAAGAATACAGAATGGGGAGAACAAAGCTGATCACTAGACATGCATACAAAACGTGGCTGAGTGCTTCCTGGAAGTTCAAGTAAACCTCAAACTGTTTGATGTGATGTATATATGCTTTCACATCTTCGGAAAACAAAAATGCTTACCACCATATAAATTCTACAACAAGCCAATTTTTAATTACACCTATCAAAATAATAATAAAATCCTAGCAGTTGCATTCAACGTGCTTGAATAATGGAGACCACCTATGCAAATATAAACACAGCATCTGAATCTCCAATTAACTACTGTCAATTATAAATGGGGACACTTTTAAAAATAAATTATGAGGATAATTAATCATTTTCACACACAAAGGTAACAATGCAACATCATGCAGTGGTTTTAAAAGCCTCCTACTTTCTGCATTTCTATTCTGGTTAGTTTGTGCCAAGATTATAAAAGCGCATTTTAATTTTAAAAGAGGAAGAGAGGAAGGTGAAAAGCTTCCATCCCTCCCTCTGGTCATTTCATGTAGATATTATTGGATTCAAATATGCAGCCACTAAATCATTGCTATGGAACATTAACATTTTAAAAGGATTCCCATGCTTGGAAAAACGCTAAGAATAAAAGGGCCAAAGGAAAACACATCAAAAGTTATTCTGTTCTGACACTGACAAAATAAGCACTTGTGTATCTGTTCAACTGAACATGAAGTGTTATGGTCATATGACAACAGCAAGTTGTATTTAAATCAGTGTCACAGGGATAAAAAGCATAAATATAAAAGCAAAACTGAATGACATATTATGCTTAGCATCTTTCTGTAACAAGCAATTAACAGTCAAATAGTTGTTCACTGTTAGAAATTTTACGTCAGAAAATAAAACAATATACGCTGCAGATGCTGTGAAAGCAGCACCCCTGAGTTGCCTGCAAAGTGAAAGAGAAACGTTCTCAGAAGCCAACGCCAGCCTCGAAAAGAGTTCCCTCCATCAGCCACCGATGGGTCTGACTTGCATGACACTGGTGCCCAATCCTTTCTCCCTAAAAAGATCTGCCTGCTCCTATTCGGTCACCACACAGGTTTTTCTCCGACCCTATGCAAAGGCTTGTATTTTCATGTAAACTGCTGAATTCAAAACGTCAAAATGCTCCTCGGAGATGTACACAGAACCTTACTGTTTCAGCAGCAAAGTAAGGAAACTCATACTGTTGTTCCACTGTATTCTGATCCTCTGACAAAAGAAAGCAAGCTCACACCGGATACTTCTAACTTTAAAACACACCCCCCCAAAGGAGACCTCCAAAACCTTTTTGGGAAAAAAAAAACCAAAACAACAAACCAGCCATACTATTACAGGCTCATCTTTATAGATAATGATTTACAAGTGAATACTCTGTTACTAAAAACAGGCTACAGCAATATATATTCAATAAGAATGTTGTACAAACATTTTCAAAATTATGCTTTCATATATTCCATCAAAAGGTAAATTACTTGAAAACACCTACAGAACCTAGTCCTAATGAGGGCCCAGTTAGCTAGTATAAAATAAAAGCATTATTGCTCTTTTTACTGTCAGAAAGTTTCAAAAAGTTTGAATTTCTGTACTAATACATTGAAAACTGAAAATTATAGTTGTGGCAAATACCAATAGAAGAGGAGAGCGGGCAGATCCTTCTACCTTCACTCCTGCTACCAAGGACACTAGCTAGCGTGACTAAGAATGACAGCATCCAACTGGGAGAAGAAAAGAAATCTTTTTCTGCAAATAATTCATCATCATAGAATGAGGTCTGCTGATACAACACAGACTCTGGTGATCTAGGTCTTATTTAGCAGAAGCTGCATGTCATACAAGTTCATTAGCTATTCACAAGTTTATAAACAACTTACAAACTGAGTAATTCCAGATAACATCAGATTACAACAAAAGTTCTGTATCAGAGTTGTACAGAAAAAGCCTGAGGGAAGCAAAGCAGTAATGAATGTTACAATCAGGCTCATCATTGTTTCAGAAATAGTATGCTGTGTGAGTAATCCAATTGGAACACTCTTCCTTTGAACGTTTTGCTGAGCTGTGTGATGTAAAAATAGATTTGTATGCCTCAGATTTCTCCTCGCTGTCTGCAATGGATCTCTTCGTAGTAGTAGAAGCCGCCTTATTGACTTTTCCTGGTACAGATGAATTTCCATTATCTGATAGAGAAAAAGGGATAGAATGAAGCATGCATAACAGCTTACAATTGATAAAAGTATATTTAAATAAAGAGGGAAAAAAGTATTTAAAACATAATGTGTATAGAGATGAAATATATACATTTTTCAGGGCTATCACAAATATTTCTCATAATTGTACTCAACAGCAAACATGTTCCTAACAGCAAACACGTTCCTAGCTTTTAGAATTTATGCTCAAAATGCATTTAGAAATCTTGGAGAGAGGAATTCTTTTCTTGTGTAAACTCCTTGCACTGTAATTCAGTATTGACAACATTTAGTCCTCTCAGTGAAAAATGGCTCTGAACTCTATTCTTAAGAAAGAAACATGAAAGTGTTCCACCACCCTGAAGTATTGTTTAGAAATTAGCTATCAAATGACAAAAGCTAAACTTGTGACATACTGTCCCCAGGGAATCTATCTCCTCCCTTCATTCTTTGCAAAGTCCTTTATGACAAATAACAATGGTCTGCATCGTTTTATATTTGGGATAGGAAAATGCTCGTCCCCGTTTCCGATACCATCTCTCTGTGTATTCCATCTACTGCTACACACCCCTCCTCTTTCTTAACAACTATTTAATCTTCTCCAAAGTTGAAGGACGGTATTTTAAAAAGCATGTGCCAAGTCTCTTGTGCCGAGAAACGAATACACAGAATTCTACAGAAACCCTACATATTTAGTTTAACTTCGGCACAACAGCATGTAAATAGCTGGCAGGGAGCCTGTCTCGAAGCGCACTTAACTGATTTCTGCATGTACTTATAGGAATTATATGTGCAATCCTAAATCATCTTAGATCAGACTTTTTATATTTGGAGAATGCTGCTTTTAATGCCACCAATAGTTGTCTGGAAAGAATTACCAAACACTGGATTTGAAAGAATGAATATGTATGCTGCAAGTCCAGAAACCTTAGGGTGCCATGTTCACAAATTAATTCTTATGCTACTGGCAGTCCTCAGTCCATGGATTTTCCTTTATTTTCCCTCTCCCCTCTCAATCTCTTGCTGGTCAATATAACTGCTGCCAGAAACATAAACCAATGACCTGACATTTCAAAGGACATATTTTTTCTTTTACACTCTTGGAGAAGAAAAATACATCAAACATTATTAGAATTACTAGGTTCTTGAACATCCAAGAACAATTATAATTATCTGGAATGAAATATTTTTAAAACTCCACACTTTATAAAAACAGACAGTAGGGGGCAGGTAAGGCATTTCTGATGGAAATTCTCCCAGCTTCTCACATAGTTTATCTACAGCTCCTCATTTAACTGTTCTCAGAATCTTCAAACAAATGATACTGGCTTTTTCTGTGGCTGTACTGTAGATGATTGAATACTTCACACAGAAACCTCAGACTGACTTTAAAAATGTACCAATTCTTATAGTTCTGCATGAAAACATCAGTATGAATTGGAGACATTAAATAACATAATATATATTACATAGAAGGCACCATCCTTTGGACTAAAGGGCTGCCAAGCTTACTCAGAGCTGCACGACTACTGTAGGTACATCAGTACATTGTGAAGTTATATTCTGCTGCTCCCAGTGACACACAGCACATTAGCAGCTAAACTGGAGGACTAAAAGTCAAAGTCATCAGCCTGGGAAATGTAAATACATTTAATAAAAACGAACTGCCATAACAGATTTTTTGACCACTTGCACTTCAGGAAAACAACTACTATTTTTCCTCACAAATTGGTTCTGTTTTACCTCAAACCAGGACAACCTCTTAGCCAATAAAACAGATATACCAAACCCTCGGCTGTATCACTGTGTGAATAAGAATCTCTGATCTCATTCATTCCTGTTGGTTCCGACCAACTTAAAGCACAGCAATATTGGAATGGCATAAACAAGCAGATCTGGCTTGTTTCACAGTGAAAAAAAAAAAAAAAAGCAATGTGGTGAAAAGTGTTTATTGTTTTTATTAGTTATCTGCATCACTACAGCACTTGCCAGTCACAAGTGTGAGCAGAGAACCTGTTGTTTTAGGTATTTTGTGGAAGTATAACAAGAAGTCAGTCCCTACTCTGGATTATTTACTCAAAGTATAGGAGGATGGACAGCAGATGGGACAAAGGTAAACTGGGCAGAATAAGGAAAAATGGGTAAACAAAAGCCCTTGCACACTTTCTGCAGAGTCAGTTTTGTAGATTTTGCAGATTCTAAAACAAAGCTCTGTATTAAGAAAAAGTTAAATTGACTACAGTTTCTACTGAATAAGGAGCTTTGTGCATGTTCATGAGGCAGCTTCCTACTCCATCTCGGGAGGGCAGCCTTTTAGGACAGACTTTTGAAAGAGGGTGTTCTTTGAAACAGTGAGCCACGACATTATGGCTCCCTTCACGACAGGAGCTGACATTTTATTACTGAGAAAGAAAATAAAAAGAAGTGAGAGGGTAGCTTCTGAAAACTGTGGTACAAAATAGCCAGAGAGGGATCTCTCCTACAACATTTTTCAAAGCAGAACAATTTGTTTACGTTTTTCACGTTTAGATTAAAGAATAAACACCAACCTGAACTTTTGGTGAAGATAATCTGCCTCTTTTCCCCGGAACTGGAATTGATACAATCCTTTCCATTCTTAGCCTTTGATGGACCTGCAGAATCTATGAAAGAAAAAAAAAATGAAATCATGATTCTGGTTCATGACTCAGAAGGCTGCACATAATTTGTAGCTGTGACATTACCTTCAGCGGTATCTTGCTGCGAAGCTGATTCTGCTGACTTACATTTCTTTGATTTCTGAAACAACACAAGCAGAAATCTGGTAACGTACTGAAAGGATATACAATTCCCAACTTGTATTTGATAGACACACAATTCCATTTAGTACATTTTTAGGTCTTACACAGTGGAACTCTCCCTTTCACAATACTGCTCCACTCCTTTGGTATTATTTCTATACGGAAAAATAACAACCTCGGCAACCTTGAAGGCACCTCAAAAGAATATCGCACAGGCCGAAACTAATCTGTCTGGATATGGTATTTTGGTTTGTATACGTTGCAGGGTGTGTGTGTGTGTGTTATTATGATTAAGGTAATCTGATACTCTGAACCCACATGGCAGGACAGTAAATTGCACGACATTAAACAAGACACAGTTACCTGTAATCAATAAAGATGTTTTTCGATAAAAATTTCAGAGTATTTCTGCATCTCATGTCCACTTAATTTTATTTATTTAATTAATAATCCCTCCTGGGTAACTTTCAATAACCGGGCCCTTTGTTGCAGAATTGTTTGGGAAGAAAAGATGCAAATAGTTAATCTGAATTTTTCAAAAGCATCTGTGGACCAGATTTTCCAAGTTAATTTATGTTTGGCCAGATTAAAAAACACAAAAAACCAAACAACAGCAACATGAATCCCATTACTGGCTTTGATTATATAAATGCCAAGCTGAAAATGAATGATGTATTAAAACAGCCATTGGCGTTATTAACATAAGAGATGACTCTGTATACGTTCAGAATGGTGAAAGCTATACAAAGTCAAAGAAAATAAAGATATATACATGTGCTATGAAAATTAGAAGAACCCATGCTGCCAGACATACTATTAATCCTTAAGCAATAAAATGCCATACCACACGTTGTTGCAAAGCTCAGCCAGAAGGTGGTGGCAGAGGGTTAATAGCCTAAAAGCAGACCTTGCTCTCCTGGTGTCCTTCAGTGTACGTGAAAAACCTCTTTTCAGTGTGCTTCCACCTTTGTTATTATGGGTTAAAAAAGTTACCTCCCAATATCTGGCATCTGAGTTATGAGATGTCTGTAAATATATGTATGCATATATATTATATATAATGAATATATATATTATACATATTTCATCATGGGCACGTATAACATAGTTGAGCTTGAGTAATTTTTGTACTAGTGCCAGCTGTGTCTTCCTTACGCTTTGTGCCTCCTGCTCCAAATACAGTAGGTCGACTGAGACTGCTCCGCTAGCTGAAAGAAGGAACTGAGGAAGAGGTCTTAACAGCAGTGCCAACAGACCCCAAACTAGAAACTGTCTTCTGATACTGGGGACTGGAGCTCAAAGATCTCAGATCAGAGCGAATGGTGCCAGTGACAGCAGACTAGTTCTAGCTGCAAAACAATCAGCAAGGCAGTATTGCAAAAAAAACATCAGAACTTGAGGATGAAATGTGAGACCTACTGAGAGATTTGCAAATACTGTACCTGCCTGTAATATAAGCCCCAACTAAACAAACAAAACCACATTTGCATATTCACCCAAGACATATGGAGCCCAAAGACCAAAGCCCGATTTCCTTTTGTCTGCCACCACAAGTGCCTGTGCTGACACTGTAAGAGACAGAAGTGCTCAGCACACTTACGTACTACTTCTTTATTGCGCAGAAGTTGGAGACAGCACCAGCTTTCAGACTATTCCAAATTATTTGAATGAAAGCTATAGATGCTTTGTTAGGGCCACCTTCTTACTGAAAATCGAGTGCAAGTGACTACTATTTTGGGGGCTGATCATTTACTGAGATCTGCAATATTCTATCATCAAATTATCTTTAAAATTCTTTCAAACGTTTAATTACAAAGTACTGAAAAAAAAAGAAAAAAAACATCTAAAGAGACAGCATAAGATTTACAGTACTGCTCCTACGCCAGAAGCTATAGGACACAGAGTGGAGAGGTTATGAACAGCGGAAAACAGAGCGGAAACAGAACAGTAGGATTTCTATGGGTAATCAGCCTGTTTTTTTTACTGCCCAGGCCCAATGATGCTGTGGTGGTGCAGATGAATAAAGACCCTATGATGAGAAGGAATCATATGCTTGCTGGTAAGTAAACAAATACTTGCTTCAAAAGAATCTGGGAAAACACTTGTATGCCATCTAATCTTACAGCCAGGCAGAAATCAAGCACAGTAACAGGGGTGAAGATGATCAACCTTCTTCTAAAGTCTCAGTTGCTGAAGTGTCAGACAATGATGATTCATGCTCTTGAGATGCATCTAAATCTGTCTGCACTCTGGACTGAGTCAACACTAAAGTTTTTGCTTGTTTTATCATCCTCCAGAATAGCAGTGCCAGTTCAGAAAAAAATACCAATGCTGAAAAAAGTCCCATGTGCAGAACTGTCATTTGACAGTACAGTACGAGAGAACAACTACTACTTCACAGAGCAGTAGTATACAGTAGAGTATATAGTAGAGCTGCAACAACTTTATTTTCATGGCATTTTGCCTGATCAGACAGAAGAAAAAAAATAAAAAAAATGCAAAGACCTCAACAGTATGGTGGGAAGCAGCATCGCCAGTAATCACTCAGGACTCTAAGAACCACTAAACATGACAAAATTTCCAAACAGTGGCCTTACAGAATCAGACCAGGAATGTACATATGCCAATACTGTGTTTCTGACAGTGGCCAGTAGAGGATACTTAGGTATCAAAACCCAATAGCCTGCCATCGGGAGCTACCATACGAAATAGAGGGAAGATTCTGCTCATTACTGGGATTAACTAATACAAGCTCTTTGTTTTAGGAAAAAAAAAAAAAAGTATAGCTGGCACACTGTCTATTTTACACATAGCATTGAATTCTGTGATTTTCAGAGCCCTGTGCATTGCCAGCTAGTCAAAAGAAAGTTTCAGTACATACTAACTTCAAATGCTATTTGCAAAATATGCACACAATCTCATTACATTTAAAAGTAGCACCGAAGTACAACACAGTTTACTGAGTAAATCCTCAGTCTGCATAAAGGTTAGCAAAGCTAGGTGATCTAAGAGCAGATTGCATTACAGACAAGAATTCTGCCAAATTTTTGTTTAAGCAATGTATAAAAAGATTACCTTTTCTAATTTACTTTTAAGTCTTCTATCCTCCATTCTTTTCTTCAATACTTCCACATCTTCTTTATTACCATTAAGGATAATCACATCTTCCTCTTGAAAGGGAACACCACACTTCAAGGCAAAAAGAAAAGCACAAAACTAGTATTTTTTTCAAGACCTTTATGCTCTTGAACCTTTGTTAGAATATACTGTGCTTAAGTTCTCCAAGGAGCTCTCCAATCCATCCCCTTACCGCTGTGCCATTTCCAATAGTTTGTTCTCTTTTAATACAGTCTAATACATCTTCTCACCTAAAAAGTCAAAGGGAAAAATCTCGGCTGTTTTTACCACTGGGCAAAATAATACTGATTGGCAGCATACCTCTTCACAAAAAGAGGAATAAATACTCACCTTAGTAGTGAATTGTGGACTTTTGATAACCACATTTAAAAGCAGCTCACATATCAATCTGCACAGCAAATTATAAAAGAATTTCAGAAATACGAAAATATTTTGTTCTTCTTCAAAGCCCTATTCCATGTAATAGGGCTATGGAAATTGCATATTTATTTCACTATCAGTTCCTTATAAACAATGCTCTTAACTAATTTTTTTTTTTCTTAAAAGAAAAGGTTCCATTATATATTTTCTGTTCATGGGTTCCCTGTTTTACTAGTGTAAAATGTACAGTGACTAGATTAAACAAAGTAGTCTTAACTAGAATCTACTCAATTTTCTGAACCCCACAGCTAAAACCCAAAACACGAAGGTACTTTCTGATTTTTTTAAATCTAAGCATTATGCAACTCTGCTCTAGAATTTGTCTTTCAACTCAGTAATTCAAGAAAAAACAACTGATAGGAGCAGTTCCTTTACACTGACTAGGAACACCACCAAAGGTGTTACTCCTCTACGTGTAGAACAGGCAGCACCAGGGACAGGAAAACTTGCTTTGTTTGGATTTTTTTTCCCCTTATATTGTTATTATTATTGTATGGGGATAAAAAGGGGTCATAAAAGCAGCATTATTCATTAACCCAGCTTTGCCCTTCTTATCGTCCTTCATCTGATCTATTAAACACTAACAAGTTTCAAAGTACATTCATAAATGAATCTGGATAATGCACGTAATGTGCTTCATGTAATTCCACATTTGTTTTCTGGTTGAAGACACAGATGTTTCGCTGCACACACTTTCAATCATCTGGTGAAGCCAGCACATTGACTATGATGTTTCCTTTTACAAGATCTCAATTTCCTTTTTTTTTTTTTTTTTGTTTTTTTGTTAAATCCAGAAGCTTTCTGTTAATCTGCAAGATTAGTTTATAATCCTGCCTCTGTCATTACTCTTCTGTTTTCTAAACAAAGGTTTAGAAAGGTTACTCATGTATTTGCAGTAGGAATTAAACAAATGAAAGGACATATGGACAGTACTTTGACTACAGTCTGCTCAAGCGATGAACACAGTTTAAAAAAATGAATCTGAATACAAGTGGTCAGAGATATTATGAAGGAGAAGCAAGGGTTAGACAGATGCATATTAAGTCAGTCAGTCAGAATAATAAGTCACACACAAAAAACGGGTGAGTAGCCCAAATTTTTCCATTGCTACTCAATGAGCTAGTGTTAGAAATACCAGCTCAGTACGACTGCAGACACTTGGGAGTCAGAAGTCTAGAAAATCTGGACAGACAATCAGTCTTCATACTGAGGTAGGAGCAACTGGAGCAGCTGTCTTGATTCTAAAGCAGCCCTACACATTCATTTCTAGTGGCGTGTTTTCTGAAAACAGCATGAAAGACGGGCACTCTCCTACAGACTACTGATTTAAAAAGTAATTTCTGCAGTAATTTTTTTAAAAACATATTCTGTTAAGCATACAAAAGTAAGTGGAAATTTCCTCCAAGTACAAGTTTATGTCAAAGGACTCTAATTTCAGTAAGTGTTGCATTTTGAAAAAGTAAGCAAATCCAGGATTCCATCTGGAAAACACAGGTGGAACTGTTATAAAATGAAAAGTATTTACAAGAAACTGGGAAATACAGACAGTGTCCTCTTTCCATTCACTGAAACAGATATTTTTTGCCATGACAACAGCCAGATTATATTACAGAGACCAAACCCTTCTAAACATACTCTAAGTACAGCAAGTTGTAGGCATAGAACCAATTCCAACTTCCCAGGTTTCACTAACTTCAGTAGGTACAATTTGTTGTTGCACCATACATGTGCGTCAACCATTTTTAATTGTCTGTACTGTTCGATGCAAAGCTTTAATTTTGATTTTTTTTAAAAGCTCACTACTCCTTCATGCAAAAAAAAAGAAAAGATTTTTATCTCAAGGTTTTGAAATGCTGAGATAAAAAGCAGAAATAAATTACAGGTTTGCAAACTCAGAAAGATTGTTCCGTCAGATTAAGGTCTTCTGGGGCAGATGTTTGTTTTATGATATCACAGGGTCCCCCTTGCTGTACCTTGTCTATATTGGGACTTTAAATACATATGAAGGTACTTGCTGTAATTCCTTGATGTTTTTGCAGCACTCTGAACAGAAGACTTTCCTAAATGAGACTGAACTTGAAAACAATTCTGAAATGGACGAAAGCATTAGAACAGCAGCTTGCAGACCTGAACACAAGATTCAATCTGCAATTTAAGCGTGGGATGTTAACTGAAGGAGATGCTGGACAAGCAGCATGATCTTTGTCTAAAAGGCCTTTCAGGGTTCAATTATGAAAGCACGTTCAAAACTATTTATATCTAAATAGCTTATCATGCCAGAATCAAGGAATTTCTTAAAGGGCGTGCAAGCGCGATCAAAAAGTCTTCAAAGTCTGATACTCATGAATTTATGTACCCTACATATCTCATGTGTATATACACATATATGCACACACACAAAAATCAACTTTACAAAAAAACAAGTCCCAAGCCAACCCAAAGACTTAAAATGATAAGACATATTAGCTTAGGCAGAATCTTTTAAACTTAAACTCATAAAAGAAATAGCAAAATTGCTTTTTAAAACAATGAATACCTCTTAAATTTCAAGTAATTTTAATACAGTAGGATAGTTTACCTTTCTTAGAGAATAAAATACAAGAGCATTTTTTAGTAATAATGAAATCTTAGTTTAAGATGATTCTCTGAATTCTAAAGTTCACAGTTTCTTCTTAAGTTTCAGCTACATAAGATAACGGTCATGCCTCGTTTCTTGCTGTAAACTACTTCTGACAGTGTTTTGGTTGTGGTGGGTTTTTTTGGTTTGTTTTTTTTTTTTGTACAGTACCTAAGATGTGGTTCCATCCATGACTACTCCAGCCTTAATACAAATAAGCAACAGGCAAATATGTTTTCATATCTAA